CTTCCTTCCTTCCTTCCTTCCTTCCTTCCTTCCTTCCTTCCTTCTTTCCTTTCAAACTTTAAACATCCTGCTGTCCCACTGTCTTCCCACACTATTATAACTAAGGAGAACTCTGCTCTTGGCCTTGTCACTACTTCAAAGCCGATCTGTCTTTATCCTAAGTAGCTTTAATATATTTTTAAACTTTTGATTTTTGATATTCTACTTCGACCCATCTGGAAGTACTATTTTGTTTTGAAATTGGGTTCAGCAGCAGGTTGTGTACCTTATTCAATTCTAAATTATTCTCAGCTATTACCTCTGGGTACTTGTTCCCTAATCTCCCTCTCCTTTTCTTCTGAACTCCTTTGAGGCTAATGCCGAGGCTGCCCAGTCTATTATCCATATATCTTATCTTCTTTTTCATATACTTAATCTCTTTATCTGTGTGTGTTCTGGATGAGTTCCTTGGGACTATCTTCTGATTTACAAATTCAGTCTTTGCACAGACTAGATTTTATCCTATGTGTCATTTCAACCACTCTTTTTTATTTCTAATAATTCCAATTGTTTTCCTTATATCTCCATGTGGTTTTGATTTATATCTCTCTATTACAATCTAGTACCCATTTTAGAGTTATTGTTCATCCTCTGTCCTTAGGATCTTAAGTATATTTAAGTCATTTTGAAAGCATATTATTTGCATTTCATCAGCAGTTAATCTAACTTCTCCCCATTTGTTGGCATTTGGGCTGTCTTTCTTAATGTCAGTTTTCCCCAGGTGTTTGGAATATTCCACCCACTCTTCTCTATTCTCAGTGCAAGACACCCTGGTTCAGTTCTCCTCACGGCTGTTCATCTGCACAGCTCTGGAGGTGCCATTTACATTATGCTTCTGGTGGCCTGGATCACCCCCTGGCTCATCACAGCACCTTCCAAGCCATTCTCCATACTCTACCAGAGTGACTGACTATATTACAGATCTGATTGTGACCTTCTCCCTTCCACAGCTTTCCTACTGCTCTCAATCCTGCACACAACTCTGACGCTCTTTCACACTCAGGCCATTTTGAGCTTCCTTCAGTTCTCCCTCCCCAGCAATGTTCTGTATCACTCTCCCTAGCCTATGACGATCCATGCCTACAAGATGGTAGGTCTAACAAAAGGAATAAGAACATCTAAGACAGCTGGGCGTGGTAACACGTGCCTGTAGTCCCAGCACTCAGGAGGCTGAGGCAGGAGGATTACTGTGAGTACAAGGCCAGCCTGGACTGCATAGTGAAACCCTGTCTCAAAAAAACAAACAAACAAATAAAAAATATTTAAAACACACTGAATGTTCTCCAGGGCCAAGTAACAAAGTGGGAACGTACTCCTCACAGTATCCCTACCAAAGCAGAAGTCTGGCACAGATCAAGCGCTGGTTAAGCAAACACTAAGTGAATAATGCATTGCCTCATATTAGCCATCCTTACATTGGTAGAGTAACTTTTCCTTGACTACAGTGAATGGAGTATCTGGGACTGATACTTGGTTTAAAATGTTTATTTTGATATTCATAAGAAATATTAGGTCCTATTTTATTTTTTCTTTTTTATTTGTATTTCGCTTGCCTTTTCTTTTTCATGAAGATCTTTTAGGCCTTAATAAATTAACTGGGAATCTTTCCATATTTTTCCCTTGAATAGTTTAAATACTATAAAATATGTTCTTTAACGTTTAAAATGCCTAGTTGAAAAAAATCTAAACCTAGAAACAGTTGGAGAGATAATTCTTTGAGAACCTTTATTATTTATTCCACAGTTACTGACATGTTTGGGTTTTTTACCCCACCTTGAGTACATTTTTTTTTTTTTGTTTTTTTCCCCGGGAATCGAACTCATGACCTTGCGCTTGCCAGGCAGGTGCTGTGCCTCTGAGCTAAATCCCCAGCCCAACCATCTTGAGTACATTTGATAATGTATCCTATCCTTCAAGGACATCTGTTTCAAGTAACACTACTGTAATAGCTTGAACCAAACACAGAGTCCTTTGATAATTATTTAATCTTCATGTCTGTGGGTATATGTCTCTTTTAGACCTAACTGTGTACATTTTTACTTTCTCCCTTTATCTATCTGACTAGCTAGTTATCTATCTTGTTTTATTTTCCCCCAAAGAAACCTAGGTCTATTTATCAAATTTTGTGTTCTTCATATTTCTAATTTTCTTCTCATCTAATCTTTGTTAATTCCTTCCTCTTTCTTTAGATAATAATACTGACAATAATAATACCAGCTACCATTCTTAAATACTACAATATGTGAGGTTCTGATTTCTTCTCAGATTTTAGGCTGGAGGTCTGGTCCTTATATATTTGGGACATCAGTTAAATAATCCAGAAGTCTGTGGCAAATGAGGAAGAAGCTGGGACAGAAGTCACTGCCAACAAGTGAATTTCATCTCTGGCTAAGTTCTTCTTTGATTTTGGTGAAGTTGCCAGGGCATGAAGCCTAGTTGTTATGCCTGGCTTCCAATTTCACCTGGCAATCATTCCAAGCGCATGATGCAACTGTGCAGCTTCCTAGCTGGTATATGGCCTCTCTCTGCCACCCTACAACATACTGGCTTTCTACAAGGGAGAGCCACATTTGAACTTGCCTTTGGGCTCCCTAAGATACTGATTGCAAAAGCTCTTGACCCAAAACAATAAAAGCACTTCTATGCAGAAAGATCTCTGCTTATGCAGGGTTCCCCGTCACTCCAAAAGAGTATGGGGTCCTTCCGGAACCTCCAATTTCATATTTCCGTATTACTCTGCTTTCTAAGGAAGGGGAACTGAGGTTCAGCACAGTATCACCTCTATTTTGGCCCTAACTGTCCCACAGATTATAATTTTTAAAAAACCACCAAAGTGTGTGTTGTTTTCTCTAGCTTTCTCTAGCTTTCAATGTTGATGCAGCATTTTAGTAGACTACAGCATTAGGGAAGGGGGCTCAGATCCTTGAGTTCAGTTGTGGTCTTACTCAGAGATCCCATGCAATCTTGGTCTCATTTTTATTAAGAAAGGTAGCAATTCTCTCTACAAGGGCTTATCTAACTAGAACTCCTATTTGGAGACAGGATTCAGGTATCAATCCCTCAGATAATTACCTCTGGCTATTTACTTGACTCTTCCAGGCCTTGCAAATACTGTCTACCCAGGAGAACCTCTGCAAAGACAACTGCTTCCTTTCTAAATAAGAAGCAAACCACAGCTGGATGTGGCTGAGGATTTTCTCAAACCACACTACCTCCTACTGCTCCCAAAGCAAGGTTACATATTCTTATTCCTTCCCATATTTATTTACTTTGACAAATATAGATTGAGAACTTGATAGGCTGACAGCAGTCTCCTAAGGACCAGCCAGCCCTTGGCTTTCTGGCCTTCCTGCCCCAAACACCCCTCAACAGGGACAAGAACAGACTCCTTTGGGATCCCACAGCATCCTGATCATAAGACTAATAATATTTGTGACTCATATTAAAATTCTGTTTGGGGACTGGAGATATAGCTCAGCGGCACAGCACCAGCATGGCAAGCGTAAGGTCCTGAGTTTAATTCCCAGTACCAAAACAATAAGTAAATAAATAAAATAAAATTCTGTTTTTCTCTCCTGCTAACCATAAGCCTTTAGGAAACAGAAACCAGGCCTTGGCCATCACTGTATCCCCCATTCTTACCCCCAATTCCTGGCACAAAGGAGGTTTTACACAGCATGTTAGCTGAACCAAACAGAAATAAGTACCAGTTCCTGACCTTGAAGAGCTCATAATCTGTGAATAACACTCCAGCTTCTGGAACATGGCATACATAATGAACACTTTGGGGTCCACCTTCCGGTGGTGGTCACCATAGGAAGTGTTATGGTCAACCCTCCCCAGGACATGGACCTATTGTCTCAGCTTGAGTCATTGCTATTCTATCTCCCCATCAGTCTCTCATAATAAAAAGAGGCAGGTAGGGTCTGTTCTAGGTGACTTTGAGAATTGCACCTGGGTCTCTGTGCCTGGCAACTTCATCTGCAGCTCCACAATTCCAGCAGGTTGGTCCCTCCAACTCAGCCAGACCAGACTGGAAAAGGTGTGGCCTGGACCAGTGCAGCAGCCCTACCTGAGAATGATCCGAAGGTACTCAATCCCCTCTGCTTCCTCACACTTGATGGACAGGATCAAGTTTCCCAGGCTGCTGCCAGTACAGTAAAAGTTTAGATGATCCTAGAAATAGAAATCAGGATGAATGGAGCCTCCAGGAATGTCCTCCCAAACTACCACATCACGAAGAGGGAGAAGCCCCACAGAAATGAGGGAGCAAAGGATGCTGCTGCTGCTGCTGCTGCTGTTCCTGCTGCAGCAGCTATTTGACGATGATGACGACAACGACAACGATAATGATGATGACCACTACATTAACAGGCATCTCAGGATATGCTAGGCACTATGCTGTGGGCTTAATAACCACTGTCTTCTCTAACCCTACCAAGACTGTACCCAGGAGATGAGGTCATCACTCTATTCCACACAAAAGGGGAAACCAATGACCAGGTAAGTTAAGTAATCACTCAAGGTCACACAACCAGTGAGTGACACATCCAGGATTCAAACCCACATCTGTCTCAACTGTTCACCACCAGATACTGAGCTCACTTTCTCACTACTGGAGAACCCACTCACCACTACAGAGAATTTGTGAAAGACAGCTAGAAGGAACCCAGCACGTTCACTCAAGGGAAGCCAAGAGGTCCTCGGCACCAAGGGCACGCTCTATGACTCAGCAAGCACCTACTACAAACACAGAGGCTGCCTGGACTCCACTCTAGGCCCACTGAATCAGGCTGGGGCCCTGGAATCTGCGTGTTAACAAGACGCCCTGGAGTTTAGTGGTTTGGGGTACAGCCTCCTCTGAATGAGACTCTGAAGAGCCCAAAGCTTTTTCAGAATCTGCCTTCACAACCTGGGGGATCCTAGCCAATTCTGAAGAAGAGATCATAAGAGGCATGATCAAAAATACAGTGAATGCATTCTTTGCCATTTGTTTGTTTTACAATAAAAGACACTTTGACATTAATCCCTTTCAAATACTCCCTCTCCCTTTGAATACACTTATCCTATCATTTTTCCACTTTGCAAAGCAGTTCTGGAAGTCTTCTTGTGTGAGTGTCTTTAGTTGTATGCTCCTGGCTGCCTCCATGTCCTGAGTCAATTCAAAATGTTTACCTTTCACAGTCATTTTGAGCTTAGGAAAGAGCCAGAAGTTGCATGGTGCCATATCTGGTGAATAAGATGGATAAGGACATACTCATCAACTTTTTACAAACCTGTCTTTCCGCTGGGGATTTAGCTCAGCGGCACAGCACCTGCCTGGCAAGCGCAAGGTCGTGAGTTCGATTCCCAGTACCAGAAAAAAAACAAAAAACAAACAAACCTGTCTTTCCATCGGATGGCACAAGACAGCAGCATTCACTGTATGTGAGATCATACCTTGTAAACATTCATGAAAAAGAACTTCCAGAACCGCTCTAGAAAGTTGTAAGGACAATGGAATTAGTGTGTTGAAAGTGAAGGGAAGTATTTTAAGGGGAATTAATGGCAATGTGAGCCAGGCATGGTGGCACACACAGGTAATCTCAGCACTCCTGAGCCAGAGGCAAGAGGATCACTGTGAGTGTGAGGCCAGTCTCGGCTACATAGTGAGACCCTGTGTTAAAAAAAAAAAAAAAGGCAATATGTATTTTATTATAATAAATTACTTTAGCATTCACTGTGCATTTTGATCACAGCTCATATTTAAAGAAATATAAATCTGCCACTCTGAAGCAATCAGAGGCTCACAGCACACCATCCAGGCCATGTACTACTCAAGAGACCTGTCTCAGCGAGATCACGAGAGATGGCTAGCTAGTATGCAGATGAAGAGACATTTCCAAGGTATAAGAACATATTTTGCCTTAACAGTTAAAAGTCCATCCCAGCCTCCTTCACCTCCAAACACTTCCCTCCTGTTACCTTCCACAGCACTTGCTGGAATGCTTCCCACAAGGACCCTTCACAGGGGTCCTATACTGCCCCTGCCCAGCCCCAGGACAACGCCAGGCAGACCTCTCTAAATAAGAGAGGCAGGCAGCAAGGAAGGGGACAGCCCTGAAATGCCAAGGCAGAAATAACAGAGGGGGAACCAGAGACAAGACCCCTGGGCCCCCCAGGGTACTACTTCCCTCTCCAGCAATTCTTTTCTCCCAGAGCCCCTGGGCCTCACCTTCCCCAAGAAGTGCCTGCGGTAGGCTCTGGCCTCGCCCTTGCACTCAAGCTTATAGCCAAATGTGTTGGGGCTGAACCCGTCCTCTTCCTCCTCCTCGCACACGCTGCTGCCCAGTGATGTCGGTGTGCCCACGTTCTCTGGGTCCTCGATCCAATAGCCGCCAAACTGGGGCAGGATGATCAGAGGGTAGGGACCCCCCTTCTCCACAACCTGAAAGCAGAGGGAGGGTCTTGCCTTGCAGCCACTCTAAGACCACAGGGGAAGTGGAAGGCACCAGTAGTGTCCCCACTTCTACAATGCTCCAAGGAGAGGAGCCTGGTATCTGAGAACAAAGGCAGTAATGTGAATTTCTAACTTCAACCCCACAGCATCTCCAGCTTCACTGGCCGACTCTGGGACACAGGGCTGCAAGGCCTGGATGGGCACCCCCAGTTTAAACATAGGCAATCTCAGGTCACAAAGGCAAAGATGGAAAGAGGCCTCAGGCCCAAGTCCCAGGTCCAAGGTTCTCCTCTATGCAGGTTTAGGAAGAGCCATCATCTTCCCAGGGCTGGGACCCAGATCAGGCTGCAGTACAGCAGGGGGGCGCCTACCTCATCAATGCTGGGGTACGGAATATAGTCATCCTGCAAGACAAACCAGACAATACCACCATTAGTCCCAGGAGCTCCCATAAAGCCAGACTACTGTCTCCAAGTCCCTCTTTGGGGTCTGGGGAGGAGTGTGTTTGGGGACCTAGAACTTCAGGGGAAGCACATGAGATGGAAGAGCAGCCTAGAGGCAGCTCCAGGCTCTGACATCTGAGATACACCGAGCTCCTCTCCAAATTGACAGAATCTGACTGCAAACCCAAAGAGCTGGGGATGCAGCATATGAAGATCCTGACTTTGCCTCCCCCTGGTGAGACCAGCTCATGCTCTATGGTGCTAAAACAGGAGGCTGTAGTCTCAATGGGCAGCCCTCTCCAGGTAACTGAGCTAACCTTCAATAAGCTACACCCTTGGGCCCTGGAAATGGAACCCAGAGATGAGCACTGATGGAGTCTGGCAGCCCTGAGCACCACAGGTACAGGTACAGAATGGGCTAGGGAGGAGCCAGCCAAGTCACCATCCTAGGGTCTCCCCAAGACCTCCACGCCAGTCTACTGTGAAGCTGCTAAAAGGTGTTCAGCCAGGGCCCACTTTGCTGCCCACCGGGCACAAGTCTGAGGAGGGCACAGTCCTTGTGCCGAAGTTAGGCAGACATGAGGCAGATGAGCCCAGCATGCTCACTGCTCCTCCCCCAGCCCCTCCCACCCAGGTACCCTCCTCAGGCCCACCTGGCCACCTCCTCAGCCACCCAGCCCACCTTGTTCTTCTGGGGTCCCGGCCTCTGCTCTTCAAGCTTGATCCCCTGTGGAAACAAGGAAAGAGGATCCATGGAAGCAAAGGTCTCAAAGAGGGGCTCACTGGCAGGGTCCCTGGGCACCTGACCCCTCTGGAGTTAGTGATGAGGACAGCGTGACGGCTGGCAAACACCAGGCCTTCACAGTTCCCACACCTTGCGGCTGTCAGTCCTCACAGCTGCCCCAGATGAGGCAGTGGGGAAGCTGGGTCCAAGTTACTAACACGGATCAAGTTACTAACCTGAACTGTGTGCTAGAACCACTGGAAAAGATTATCTCCTTTCTGGGATTGCTAACTTGTAGGAAATAACTTAAGTATCTGGGGAGTATGAAGAAGGCATAGAGAAGGAACCAAGAGATGAAAAGAGAGATGCCTGCTGGGTGTGGTGGCGCAGCCTGTAATCCCAGCACTTGGGAGGCTGAGGCAGGAATCGCCACATGTTCGAGGCCAGCTTGGGCTACATAATGAGTTCACGGCTGGTCTGAACTACATGGAGAGACCTTGTCTGGGTGCAGGGGGAGGAGGATTCCTTACAAACAAAAACCAGAGAATTTTGGGAAAATGGTGCAGTGGTTAGCACCAACAACTGAGCCTCTCCAAGATTCAGAATCCAGATGCTGGAAAATAATAACTTGAAGAAGAAAAAGAAAATAGATTCCCAGGAATCAGGAAGGCTCTGACAGGAAATGTAAAACATAAAGCACAACTGAAGAGAGAGCACACAATGTGGAGAAGGGAAGGGACAATCTTACTTTCTCCCCAGCTCCCAGCTCATTGCTCTGGCAGAAAGGAGACCAAATCTACAGAGACAAAGTAAAAGCTGGGGAGTACAGAGGGTTTCAGGGAGACACGGTGCTAAAACACACTGGTGGGTGTTGTAAGATGTAGGCAGAGCATGGGATTCTGCTCCTACGTGAGCCCTTCAATAGGTAACAGCTGATGAGTGACTCTAGTCCAAGCTCCCGCCACATCCCTGGAGAGAGTGCTTGGCTGGTCACCACTCCAAGGGAGGGCTGACTGTTTGAACCCAGGACTCAGGGCAGTAATGGAACACCTTCACTTCAGGGCTCCCAGTGTTATACTCTCACAGTGACTAGAAGACAGTCAGCAGAGACAGCCGTGGTCAGGGAGCAGTAGTCACACAGGGGAAAAAAACACTCCCTGAGGGGTTAGAGCTAGAGGGCACAGGCCTTGCGCCCACATCCAGAGGCCAAATGAAGCCTGAGTTGTTCTCAGTGTGAAAGTCATGGCATTGGTGCCCTCACCTTAAGCATGCAGCCTGCTGGTAGCTGCATCTAGCATGGATCTGGATTCTCACTGCCTCCCTTTCCTGCCAGTGTGAACACAGACACATCTTGACTTGGACACTGCCCCTAAATTGTAGATCCCAGAAGAAAACCACACATTCAAAATCACAGAGAAATATCTCTCTTTTGTTTGTGGGAATGTGTACATTGTTTCCTGTACATTGTTTCTTTTTCCTTCTTTCCTCCTTTCTTCTTCACAAGTTTATTGGGGGGCTTAAGGAATTTTCCTTTGTCCTTTTTTTCCTTGCTTCTTGTCTCTTTTTCTTGTCTTTTTAGAAATTTTTTCTCTTCTCCCATTTAACTTTCCTTTAATTTTCCTCTTTTATGTTTGCCTCCCATATAATTTCTTTTTTTCTTTTCTCTTTTATTTCTCATCAGTTTTTTCTTTTACCTTTGCCTACCTGCAGACATCCTTCTACTCCACAATAAGCTCCTTCGTTCTACTCCTCTCTCCTCCTTCTCATATCATATACTTTAATGTTTCAAATTGTTCCTTTTGCATTCCCCCACTCCCAAATCTTAAGTCTTTGACAGTATAGCCACAAAGCTGTATTAATCCTTGATAGTTATTTGGCTCTATGAAATTGCTGTTGAATTCTTTTCTGCCATTGGTGGAGATACACTTGTCACATTTGGTATATTTTTTGTTGTTGTTGTTTTGTTTTCTTGGTACCAGGAATCGAACTCAGGACCTTGCATTTGCCAGGCAGGCACTTGTGCCACTGAGCTATATCCCCCGCCCACATTTGGTATGTTAACTATAAATCAGTACCTGGGTTGTCATAATGTTTGTGGATTTCTTCTCTAGGATAAAGGGTCATGTGCATGGATTGTTTATTTTTTTCAGCTCTACCCTTATACTGTATTAAAGGGTAAACATCATGAAAGAACCCAGCTGCTTACTTGAATTATAAAATATGACTCCATATGAAAATAAAAAACCATTTATAAAATCTCTGACAGTAATAATGCAATATACAAGGCATACAGCCATCATACAAGCAACAAACTCTTGTACAAAACAAAAATATTTTAACACCTTTAAAATTCTCAAGTCACAATTAACATCTCAATTAGTCAAGCATCAGGAATCTGCATTAGTGTTACTTTATATACGAAAAGACATCTTTTCACCAGTCATTTTCTTCTGATGTCTCTGTCCAGAATTGTACTGGTTCATGCTTCTCTACACTGCCCCCTCCATCATTTCTTCAGATCATGGAAATTAAATTTGCTGAACACTAGAAATCTGTTGATAGGGTGTTGTATAAATAATAACATTTTGTGGTTGACCAGCTGCAGTTAAGCCAGTTGGTAACTGGTTAGTGAAGGCCTCCTACGTGAGCTCCTGAGTCCATCCATAGATGTGGCCACTCTTCTGATTCCCTTCTCTCCTTTCATAGCCTCTCTAAACTTCTGAAGAAGGTATACTTCAGGAGCATATTTTTTGGCAATTTTTGCAATCTTTCCTATTCGAAGTATAGCATTTTTCATTATCTTAGCCACACTTGCAAATGGAAGATAGATATTTTGTTCTCTGAAGCTTTCTTTCAACCATTTGTGTCTTTATGATCACACATGCTTCCCTCAGTATTGTCATGAGGCTATATCACATAATGACTTCCTCCAATGTAGTCCGCAAAAATTCCTAGTTGAGAAGCACCTGCGGTAGAACTGTGCTGTCCACTGTCATGAAATATTGTCAGAATTCTGTTGTCAGTGGTGCTCAAAAACATATACCTAAAAAGGTGTCCAATCTTGACCTATTGTTAACCTCCAGGGAAGCCTTAGTTGGTCCCATCTCCAGAATGAGCAAAATTTCTGTGAAAGAACCAGTCCAAGTACAAAGCCCTTCTTCCAGCACTCAGCCTCCCCTTCCTCTGCTATAGGCCACTCTCGTTGGCATGACACCCTCCCTCTGCAACACCTGTCTGTGCATACATGCAGCACTGCCCCACCATGACCCCACTCAACACAGTGCAGCTTCCCCACATGGTTGGTTCTTATGGTATATTGATATCTATTGTGTCTTGGATGATACTGCTGTAGTTGATTTGCTTGTTATTTCCAGGGTTGCACAATTGTTGCTGTTTTTCTACAAGCCAACACTCAGATTGCCTTTGTGACATTAACATAACAGAATACATGTCTAGAAAGCTGAATGTCAGGCTGATTATACTGCATCCTCCCCTCCCAAGTTACTGAGATGGTCAGATCTAGGGGCTTTAGCCACACCCAAAGTACATCACTGAGAAGTGACTAAAAAGATCTCTATACTAACACAAAGTCTTTACACTATAAACATCTGCAAGCCTCATTAAAAAATAAAACAAGGATAAAGACATGAGAAGACAAGGCAACAAAATGCTTCCAAAAACCCCCAAAGCCAACCTGGGAGACATCAAGAGGAAGAACAGCATATGCCACACACTGAATTACTCAAGGATAATAGAGGAAATTAGAAAACAGATCAAAAAGAAACATGGGGGGGGTGTCCCATAAGACATAATTAGATAGATAAAGAAAGTAATAACCAAAATGATCCAGGAGCTTTCAGAAGACACTAATAAAAAGCTAGATGAGCTAAATAAAATGATGCAAAACATTAATATTCAGCTTAACAAAGAATCAGACTCTAAAAAAAGGTTTCAATCAGAATTCCAAGAAGTTAAATATTAAATTTAAAGAACAGGCAACAGAACTGACTGATGTGAGGTCAGATTTTCAGAATTAGAAGACAGTGATGCTTTCAAAGACCAACTACTCAAAGACACCTTAAAAGCAACAAGAGAACATGAAAAATGGATCCAACAGCTGCTAGATGACACAAAGAAGACTAAGAATGATCAGAATAAGTACAAAATCAGAAGACAACACAAATGGCATAAAAAACCTGTTCACAGAAATAGTGGCAGAAAACTTCCCAAATACAGAGAAAGAAATAAACAGATAAGTGAGGCATACAAAACCCCAAATAGCCACAACCAAAAAAACTTCTCCGTACCACATTATATTCAAAGTACCAGAAGTTCATTACGGGGACAAAATCTTCAAAGCTGCTAGAGGAAGCCAACAAATGATATATAAAAGTAAACCCATTAGAATTACAACAAAGTTCTCTATACAAACCTTAAAGGCCAGCAGGGCTTGAAGTAAAGTGTTTTAAGCCCTAAAAGATAACAACTTCTAACTCTGACTTATGTATCCTATGAAACTTTCCTTCAAAATTGATGGTGAAATAAGGTATTTCTATCATAAGGAGCACCTCAAGAAGTTTGTGACCACCAAACCAGCATTACAAAAAATTCTCAAGTATATCCTAGAAAGAAACAAGCCAACAATGCCAATAAGTCAAAAGGAGTGAATATACTTGCAATATGAGCAACTAAACAAAGGAAAAAAATAAGGGAATCAGCAACAGGAAAATAAAGCAGTAACAGGAATAAGTCAATACCTCTCAGTAATAATTCTCAATGTGAATGGTCTCAATTCCCCAATCAAAAGACACACATTGGTAGAACAGGTCAAGAAATAAAACCCAGCAAGATGCAGTATACAAGAAACACATTTCATTCAGCAAGAAATTCTCAAATTAAAAATCAAAGGATAGAAAACAATATTTCATGCAAAGCCAACTTAGAAACAAGCAGGAGTAGCTATCCTAATTTCACACAAAGTAGATTTCAAGCCAAACTGATCA